TGTTTACTGGATGTTAGATTCTATAATCTTGAATATGCAACTTGTAGTATTAGTATATCATTTATGTTTCAGCTGATCTGATTTACTTATAAATGATTGATGTAAAATGTAAAATGTAAAATTCTTCATTTCTTTTGATATTTTCTATGTTGTTCTTCAAAATTAAATCTTGGGTTTATCTCTGAATTATCGGGTTTTCACTCTGATTCTGATTCGGGTTTGGGTTTGATCTTTCTTTCTTGTTTATGTCTTCGAAAATCTGGGTTTTGATTTTCGATTCTTTATTTATTTATTTTGTAGTTGTTGTTGGCACTGAGAATCCCAGATCCAATTAAAAAAATGAAGGTGATAGAAAAGATCCAGTCTTTGCAACAGGACCAAGGGAAGGTGGTGTTTTCCTTTGAGTTCTTCCCTCCAAAGACTGAGGATGGTGTGGACAACCTGTTCGAGAGGATGGATCGAATGGTGGCTCATAATCCATCTTTTTGCGACATCACATGGGGTGCCGGTGGTTCAACGGCGGATCTCACTCTGGACATTGCTAACAAGATGCAAAACATCATATGTGTTGAAACAATGATGCATCTCACTTGCACCAACATGCCTGTTGAGAAGATTGACCATGCTCTTGAGACCATTAAGTCCAATGGCATTCAGAATGTTCTCGCCCTTCGAGGTGACCCGCCTCATGGCCAGGACAAGTTCGTTCAGGTCGAAGGTGGATTCGCCTGTGCACTCGATCTGGTAAACATCAATGTTTTTTCTTTATTTATTTTGCTTCCATTTTTTCCTGGAATAAGTTACTAAATTCTCTTACAATGTTCTAGGTGAGACATATTAGAGCTAAATATGGTGACTACTTTGGCATAACAGTTGCTGGTTATCCAGGTGCTTTTGATCTTCGTTTAGTTGTCTGCTACAAATAGGCTTCTCTTTTTGTGGTTTGTGATTATTAATGTTGTCCCTTTTTTTTGGCTCAGAGGCTCATCCTGATGCTATCGGAGATAACGGTGTAGCAACACCAGAAGTTTATCAGAATGATATTGCTTACTTGAAGAGAAAGGTTTTACTTTTAACTCACTGGTTATTTTGAATGTTTTGTTCTAAATGTTAATATCTCGATTTCCTTGTAGTGGTTAATTGTTGTGTTAAACCCTCTTTACTCCGCAGGTCGATGCCGGAGCTGATCTGATTGTTACTCAACTGTTTTATGATACTGATATCTTTCTCAAATTTGTCAATGATTGTCGTCAAATTGGAATTAAATGTCCCATCGTGCCCGGTATTATGCCCATTAATAACTACAAGGGCTTCTTGCGCATGACCGGCTTTTGCAAAACTAAGGTATGTGGTATCTTTATAATGCATATGTTTGGGCTGTTATGTTTTTTTCTTATTAGTGATTGAATATATTTGTTATGGCTGCTTAGAAGAGTGGAGGAAGGGCTATTTGGTGGTTACTTCGATTAATAGTTTTCGATTGTAACACCTACTTTTATTGGCTCATTGTAGATACCGGATGAGGTTACTGCTGCCTTAGAGCCTATCAAGGACAATGATGAAGCTGTCAAAGCCTATGGGATTCACCTCGGAACAGAAATGTGCCGCAAGATTATAGCTAACGGGATTAAGACTCTGCACATTTATACATTAAATATGGAGAAACCTGCATTAGCTATTCTAATGGTTGTTTCTTATCATCCTATATTTCATATGTTAAAGATGTTACCTACCGAATATCATTTGACTTCTTGAACTCTGAAATTTAAAATGAAAAATCTTGAATAAATATGCAGTTCATGGTTTCTTCCTCAAATTGAACATTTACAATTCGAGGGTCATATGAAAACTCTCAAACTTTATGTTTTGTTCACTTGTTTTAGAAAAGATATGCAAATACGGGGTACATAATGGATTTACTAGCAAATTTCATTACTTAGGCTTTGCTTCGTATGAAGATTTAGATAATATGCCAGAAAGTTTCTTTTCTGCAATTGAAAGTAAATGAGAATTGAACTTTGGCAACAGTTTTGGGTTGAGCTAATGCCCATCATTATTCGTTTTCACCATGCTAATCATAAGCTTTGTGTTTGCAGAATCTTGGATTGATTGAAGAGTCCAAAATTTCCAGGTCTTTACCTTGGAGACGCCCTGCAAATGTCTTTCGTGTTAAAGAGGACGTTCGGCCAATATTTTGGTAGGTGATAAATATTGAGCGTCCCAGTTCTTGGCAAGATCCCTGCACTTTACCGAGTTGTACTGTAATGTAAACATTCATGAATATCTGATCTTTTGGCTTAATGATGGCAGGGCTAACCGTCCAAAGAGTTACATATCCAGGACTATTGGTTGGGACCAATACCCACAGGGGAGATGGGGTGATTCTCAAAATCCATCATATGGTGTGCTATCTGACCATCAGGTATACAATATGGTTGAATTTTGTTATTTGTTTCTTATCGATGATATTTAAAGCATCTTCGTTCCACTCAATATCTCTTGGAGGAAGCGCAACTGCAATTTCTTTCTGCTTGTATGTTGGCTTTCTCAGTAACAAGTTGATGTGTTATATCGGTTCATTGATAAAGAACACCAACTTTTGTTTAGTCGATGAAATGCCCTTGTTTACTTTCTCTTTTCGATGATATAACCTGTGTGTGACTGAAGTTGATTTAACTTCTCAATAGTTCATGAGGCCCCGTGCACGTGACAAGAAACTTCAGGAAGAATGGGCTACCCCGTTGAAAAGCATCGATGATATCCAAGAGGTGAAATTTCTAGATTGGAATGCATTTGGTCTATTCTCTTCTCTTTTCCGATTAAACCGGCCTTAATTATATATTCTCGAATTCGGGTTTATCAGAAATTCAAAAGTTACTGTCTGGGTAAGTTGAGAAGTAGCCCTTGGTCTGAGTTGGATGGGCTTCAGCCGGAGACGAAGATCATACATGAACAGCTAGGAAAGATCAATTTGAAGGGTTTCCTTACCATCAATAGTCAGCCAGCTGTTAACGGGGAGCGCTCTGATTCTCCATCTGTCGGTATGTACAAGTATACGACTTATGTTTTCTTATGTATTCTCGACTGTGGTTTGATAAAATGGCCCTCAATGAATGCTACTATCCAGTTTGAACCTTCCTTCCCTTCTCTTCGCTTCAACTTCTCATTGTAAAAGTTGGTGCTATATCGGCACTAACTTGTTCCGATATGATGGCTTACAGGTTGGGGTGGCCCCGGAGGGTATGTTTACCAGAAGGCTTATCTCGAGTTTTTCTGCTCCCGGGAAAAATTAGATGCACTTGTGAAAAAGAGCGAGTCGTTTTCGTCTTTGACCTACGTTGCTGTCAACAAAGATGGAAATTTGGTATTGAACATTGGTCTCACAAGTGTGAATGCAGTAACTTGGGGTGTCTTCCCAGCTAGAGAAATAATCCAGCCAACCGTTGTGGATCCTGCCAGCTTCGTTGTGTGGAAGGATGAAGCATTCGAAATCTGGGCTCGATCATGGTCCGCCTTGTACCCGGACGGTGATCCTTCGAAAAAATTGCTCGAACAGGTTTGTTGTTTGCTTTGATGCTCACTTCTGCACTTCATATTTACTAGTACTAAGCACAATATAATCTCAATGCCATCTATACGAATATGAGTATACATATATGCAAAAGCAAAAAAAGAGTTGATCATGCATGTTTTGGAGACGTATACTGCATCCGACACTCACCCCAGAGTCCGAGTTACGCCGTATAACATGACACCTTCGTTTTCGATTCGGTGCTTTTGCAGATTCAGAAGAGCTACTATTTGGTGAGCTTGGTAGATAACAATTACATGGATAGTAATATTTTTGGTGTTTTTGAAGATCTTTGAAGACTTTGAAGATGAGATTGAGATAATGCCTGTAATGTTCATCTTATGAACATCTTTTTACTTTATGATTTCTACTTTTATTGTCTATTGGTTTTTGAAATTTCAGTTGTAACTTTATTAGTAATAATGACTGTTAAAAAAGAAAAATAAAAAAAATAATAATTTTTATTTTTTTTAATCATTAATATCTGATTTATTAGTCAATAATCTACGTAGTGTATTATTGAGTCTTATTTATATAATATTTTCAATTGTTGATTCATGCATTTTCTTAAATAAAGACATTCAGATGTCATTTGACTAAATAAATATAAAATACGTATTATTTTTATAAATTAATCAATATAAAAAAATATTTTTATAGTAAAATTTATTTATACTATAAAATAAAATTATTTTGATAATTTATTAGTTGATTTCGAGATGACGTGTGATAACAAATTCAACCAAATATTAAATAATTATGTATATAGATATTGAATAAATTCAAAAAATATATTACTCAAATTTTTGATTTAATTATTGGTGTTCGATCTAGTGATGAACTAATTCGGGTTGATTGTTATAAATTCATTATAAGTACGATTCTACTGACCTAAATTACTCCATTCATAATGTCTGCTTTCGAATGTCTAATCTAAATATAATACCTAATCTCATTAGATTAAGTCAAAATTAAAACATATATAATAAGTATTTAAATAATAATTACGTCTAAATTAATAAAATTTAACTTCAAATTCATTAATTCTTAATGTATCCAAATAAAAGAAATTAGGATAAATTATAAAGTTCATCATTGAACTTTACTATCTCTCTTATTTTGTTCACTAAATTTTAAAAAAATTCAATTTCTTCACTAAACTTAATAAATTGAGTTTTTTATTACTCCTCCACTAAATATTTAACGGCATTAAAATGATGTCATTTTAAAAAAATAAAATTTTCACCAAAATAACATTATTTTGCATCTATATAACAACCCATTTATATCATCATTAATAAGAAAACGACTTAAAGACAAAAAAACCCGTAAAATAGTAAAAAAATTAAAGTTTAGTTACCAAATTTACAATTTACTCAATAAAATATATAAAAGAAAAAGTTACTCTAAAATTTCCCTATCTACAATCGTCTCCCTTCGCAGAACACCGCCAGCCTCGCCCTCTCTTGACCTTCAAGTTTCTGGCAGACCGAGAAATTTAAATAAGGTAATGTTTGAAACCCTAAACTTAATTTAAAGATTAACTTCTACTTGATTCATGAAAATTTGTGTTATCTGCTCAAAATAGGGGTGACGGATGGCGCCGCTACCGCGCAACAGCGCCTGTAACCCCGCTACGTCACCTCTATTTGAATCCATGTGTCTTTCGATGTCAAAATGATGTAATTGTTTTTAATGAAATCTGGTCTTAGTACGACCTTTGTTGAAATGACATTTACTTCAACTCTTAAAATTTCTATCTTTCGGTTTATGTATTGTTTGAGAATTTGTCTTTGCCGTGTCATTTCTGTTGTTACATCTAAGATCCGTTGACAATTCAAATTGCTCTGTTTTTTTGCTTGGCTGCCTTTGCAACTACGTTAGAGTGCAATCGAATCCAGCTGAGCTCAAGCTATATGAAGTTTTAAGTTTGGCTCAAAATTTGCAGCTTGAAGCTTTTTGCTCGAGTATAATCTGAGTTGTATTTTTATAGCTCGTGGCTCGTGCTTGTTCTACTGGACTTTGATTAATCTCGCTTACATAGTACAAAATGAGTGATTCTCATGCTCTACTTCATATTTGATTATTTTTGCTTGAACTCGAGTTTAAGCTTGAATAATGATTTGTCAATACTAATTAAAAAAAAAGCATGATCAGACTTGCAAGCAAATTCGAATCAAGTATTAGGGTATTCAAATTTGGTTTATTCAATAACTTAGCTCAACCTGATAATGGTCTAGTCAAATTTGATTCATTTCGAATCAAACTTGAGTGGCTTGTGATAGCTGGTGTCTAATTTACACCCTACTTTGACTACATCTTAAGATCCTTAGACGATTATTTCTTGCTTGAGTTCTATTTCGATTTGGATTTAGGTCAAGGAATAGAGAACCCCTTAGTTTAGCCAAAATTATTAGGGTAGGGAAAGGGTGCAGAGTTTTTAACAGTTAACCATGTATTTATCAGATTCGGATAGTATGAAAACTAACAGGGTTCGGGTACCAATATCCTACTTGTCATTCCTACTTTCACTTCCTTTGAATATATATATATATTTCAATGGTCTTTTAAGTGATTACCACTTATTCAGGTGGTGGTTTTCGATCATCATGGAAGCTAAATTCTTTCGGTTTCTTAAAATTGTCGGAGTTGGTTACAAAGCCCGAGCTGAAGCTGAGGGAAGACTCCTATTTCTGAAACTAGGATACAGTCATGAGGTCGAACTTACTGTTCCTCCTGCTGTTCGTGTTTTCTGCTTCAAAAACAATGTTGTTTGCTGCACCGGACTCGACAAGCAGAGGGTGCATCAGTTTGCCGCTACGGTTCGAAGTTGCAAGCCTCCAGAAGTTTACAAAGGCAAAGGTATAATGTACATTGACGAAGTTATCAAGAAGAAACAAGGTAAAAAATCAAAATGATTTGTTGGAAGTGCTTGGTTTTACTTGGTGGAATTGCATTGTTTAACTTGGAAACTTGGTTGAATATCTGAACAAAATGTAGTAGGCATGTTGGAATCCTTGGCATCTATGCAACAATTTTTAGGGGTTTTCAATAAAGCACTTTGTTTTGATGTGTTTGATGGATGTTTTCTGAATCAGAATTGGATGAAAAGTAATTTTAAAGCCGGTGAAAATGATTTAATTTTTTTCCAGCCTTCTAGAGTTAGAGAAAAATGAGAGACTGTCATCCGAATCCTACATTTTTCCTGAAGTTTCAATGTTCAACCTGTATTGGGATATGTTTATGGTGGATGATCCTCTTAATGTATGAAAAATCTAGGGCATACTTGTGTTAGACACATAGGCTTATCTGACATTTAGTTGCTATATTTGGAGCTCATATACCCATATTCAAATCGAGTGCTGTTGTTAGAGTATTTGAATCGAGTACATACGTTAGAGATTCCGAAACGTTCGAGTGCAACAGCATATGTTAGAGATGTAGAGGTAGGTAATTATAAACCCAAATTTCTCGTTTATTGGTAATTAAAGCGATATGCAAATTGGTACATAAGTTTTATGCAAACTCTTACAAGAAATGGGCATCAAAAACTTGAAAAATCATACCGAATGGACCGCTAACCCTAGACAATGAAAACCATACATAGAAATGGAAGATACTCTTCATATATTTCCCTTGTTTTTCCACTCATTGGAAATTAGCAGAGGCAAACTTCCTTAAGACCCAGATGCTGATAATAATGGTAATAAAGCATAAAAATGCAGTTGAGATCTAATCCTTGAACTTCATCTCGGACATCTTGAAGCCCGGCATGTCGAAAGAGGATGCAAACTTTTCAACATCCGCCTTGAGCTCTTGGATCTCCTTGTTGTTTTCCAAACCTTTGTTGAAGTCCTTCAAGAGCTTTCCATACTGCTTTTGTATGTCCAAGGTGATGGTCACCGCTCGGTGGAGGAACTCGCCAATCTGTTCAAAGTCTTTCTCGACCAAGCCTCTCGAGGTCATGGCAGGTGTACCTGTTTATAGCAATTTGCATCATAAACTGGGTCATTTTAAATTTTTAACAAAAATTTTGATCAAGCTTCTAAGAATTCTGTTGCCATTCATCAGTGAGGAACACAAGCTAAATGATTATTGTAGTAGTTCTTACCAATTCGTACTCCACCGGGTGCCAACGCACTGCTGTCACCAAATACAGCATTCTTGTTGACGGTGATGTTGCACAGGTCACAAAGTTTCTCTACCTTGTTGCCTGTGAGAACAATGATAAAACTGATCAGAATCGAATCGAAAAGGCAGCTAAACGATAATTGTAAGACCAAGTGATTCAACTGTCATACCAGTCAATCCAAGAGGTCGGAGATCCCAAAGAACAAGGTGGTTCTCGGTCCCTCCAGTAACAAGCTGGTACCCCTTGCTCATCAGGTACTTTCCAAGGGCAACTGCATTGGCCTTAACTTGTTTTGCATAAGCCTTGAACCCGGGTGACATGGCTTGTTTCAAGGCAACGGCCAAAGCACCGATCTGGTGATTGTGAGGACCTCCCTGAAGAGAAGGGAAGACGGAAAAGTTGATCTTGTCTTCGAAATCATACACCGCACCTTCAGGTTGGCCCTTTTTGGGGGGTTTCGGTCCTTTACGGTAGAAGATCATACCGGCCCTAGGACCCCTCAAGCTCTTGTGGGTGGTGGTGGTGACAATGTCACAGAACTCAAACGGGTTCGCAGCCTCCTACTCCGACAACAAACAACGAGACCGGAAAATCAAGAACTACATAAAGTAACTTAATAGTGCTGAAATACCAATTGGATTAGATCGAAACAAAGATTGTGAGACCTATAATCAAATCCAGGAGATTTTAATATCAGAAAAACCATTGAAATCACAACTAAAACCAAGATCTAACAGCACCAATCACCAACAAACAAGATCAAAGGAAAACATAGTTAAAATCCAATTCAAACAATATACCTGAGCAGCAACAAGGCCGCTAATGTGAGCCATATCGCACAGCAAGAGAGCTCCACATTTATCAGCAACAGCCCTGAATTTAGCATAATCCCAGTCCCTAGGATAAGCACTCCCACCACAGATGATAAGCTTGGGCCTGAAATCCATTGCCTTCTCTTCCAACTTATCGTAATCAATATACCCGGTGCTCGAGTTCACCTTATAAGGCAAACTCTCAAAGTAAATCGAAGTAGCCGAAATCTTCTTCCCACCGGAGGTATAATACCCATGAGTCAAATGACCACCGGAAGGTAGATCCAGTCCCATGATCCGATCATGCGGCTGGAGGACCGCCGTGTACGCGGCGAAGTTAGCCGGGGAACCGGAATACGGCTGCACGTTGACACCCCATTTGGTTGGGTCGAGGTGAAAAGCCTCCAGAGCGCGAGACATGCAGTGATTCTCGATCTCGTCGATGTATTCGTTGCCTCCGTAGTAACGGTTCCCCGGCATACCCTCGGAGTATTTGTTGGTGAGGGCACTTCCGAGGGCTTCGATGACGGCGAAGGAAGTGAAGTTCTCGGAAGCGATGAGCTCGATGCCGCGGCATTGGCGGCGCTTCTCTTTCTCGATGAGATCGTGGATTTCAGGGTCGACGGATTGGAGGGAAGAGTTGCCCCAGGTGCTAACTGGATCCATTGCTTTTGGGGAGAGAACTGAAAAAGGATGGTGGCTATGGCGCTAAGGGGAGGAAGATCGGTGGCAAGAAATGCAGGATTTGTCTGGGTACTTATAGAAGTGTTTTGACGTGGTTGGTGATAATATTTTATAATTTTTTTCTGTTCTTTTTAATTATTTAATGATAAAATTCTAGTAATAAAAAATGATCAAATTCTAATCACAAAAAATAAATTATATAAATTTCAAATTTCATTAGTTTGAAAAAAAATCTTAAATTAGAATTATTTTTTAAAAAAAACTGAGCTTTGACATGGTATGGATCGAATTTTTCTTTAAAAAAATTAAGGTCGAATCATATTTAAATTAAATCCGTATCCTCTAGATATATTTATTATAATATTTTTTCTATATTTTAATTACTTTTTAATGTAATATATCTAATATTTTATTTTTGGATTAGGTGGTGGATCAAATTTTAGTGGAGTTAATTCGCATTGAATTATATTATAATTAAAATTGATTTGAATCATATTATATTTTTAACATGTTAGATCAAGAAAATAAATTGGTTTGATCACTATCATCATATAAGACTGTAAACAAGTTAAATTTGAGTATTGTTGAGCTCGACTTGATTCGAAAATTTTAAACTTAAATTCGACTCCATTCAAAAATTTTAGAGTTTAAAATTATCAAGCTCGACTTGAATTCGAAATAAAAAATTGAAGCTATACTTGATTTCGAAAATCTTAAACTCGGGCTCGAACTTAAACCTTAAGTACGTGAAAACTTTATATTAATCTTTTTAAAAACATATAAATATTAATATTATTAATAATTTGATTAAAAATTAAAATTTTAATATATTATTTTCAGGTTGTTAGTGAACTTTTCGAGTCGGATATCAAATAGTTCATTTTGATTAATTAAGAACTTGAATCGAGTTCAAGTTCGAGTTAAATTCATTCGAATCAAATATTAGTCGAGTTTTAATCAAATTAAACTAGAATAACTTATAATCTTTTATGGTCTCATTTACAATACTATTATCATCTCTATGTAACATTGTCAATATGACCTCATCTAAAAATTATATAGATATTTTTAAAAACATATAATACATTTCATCACGTGATAGTGTCATTATCTTAATGATTAACTTTGTTCAAAGTTAAAATCTTATTATCTTAATTAAAAAGAATCATAAAAGGACGATTTGTCCATACAAAATAAAGGCCAATGAAGACATAAACTTTAGCCATCTAAGCAAAGGAGGACCACAATCAAATTAATATTGTTTGTGAACAACCATCGTTTGAATTAGGCACACCAACCGTCAAAGCAGTTGTTAAAAGTTTGTGAACCAAAGGAAAATGAAATAAATCATATATAAAAGATGATTTCATATAGTTTTGGTTTCTATTTATATTTATGCACCACATAAATAACAATTCATTATAAATATAAATATGGAAAATAATATAGATATGAATATGATCATCCTAAACTTTTCGATTAATTTTTAATGTTTTTCGTTAACATGATAAGTTTATGTGCCCAAAATAATAACACAATACATGTTAGGTATATATAAATAATGAAGTAATATATGTCACATGTACATAAGTGATGACGTGACACGTGTCACGTCATTACTTTAGACACATAAAACTTATCACGTCAACGACCAATGTTGATTATTAGTCAATTAATGATTTATATTCAATCAAGCGCATTTTACTTCAAAGTGAAAAATTGAGAATCAAAATGTTTATAAATATATGAATCGAAATGTTTAAAAATATATGGATCAAAATGATTATTATATCAAACATTAGGAGTGAATTTTAACATTATGCCTATTTATATATAATACGTTGCTTTTTTAATAAGAATTTACATAAATACGATTTGATCCAAATTATCAATTTGGACGAAAAACCCCTAGATGAGTTTTTGGTAAGAATACCTACTACATGTGTACATCAATTTGGCATTTGACTTGAGTGGGTGACGACATTAGTTTTAGATATACATATGGATGGATACGATAGTTGAACTTGATAGGTTTAGATCCGACGCTACTTTATTTTATCGATTTTTTTTTTAAAAAGAAAGAAATCATATTCAAGTTGGATTTGGTCAAATTTAGATTTAGAGTAGAAAATATATGACTCGACTTGACCTGAAAAATAGTATAACTATATCTTATATATTTAGTGGTAATTGTAATAATAACCCTCTTTATATTATTTTTTTTCAATTAAGTTATTATTTTATTGAATAAAATTAATAATTTTATTTTATTTTGGGTCAGATCGAAGTTAGGGTTTATCTCAAAAGTCGGGTCAAATTCGGATCAAATGAAGTTAGCCTAACTCCGGATCCAATCGAGTTTCAGGTGAAAGATATAAAATTTTCAAATCGAATCGACCGGAAACTCGACCTATACCCATCTCTATATATACACAATATGTGACTAAACGGGTTGGTAAAACAATCGAAATCGTAAGCATAAATCCATCATTCTCAAAGTTTTGGTGGCTAATGGGATGTTCCGTCGGTTCAAACACCACCAACCAAACTACCAAACTTCCCCCCTACAATCCCACCTTTTGAGAGATTGGTCTTTCAAGTTTCGGTTATTCTAGTTTCCCCCCCTCCCGGACATCAAATAGTTATTAAATAACAAATAGATATAAAAAGTCCTTGTATTTTTTTTTGAAAAATTAATGTGATATTCAAACTATTTTTACATCAATTCTAATTTTAAAATGAAAAAATAAACAATTTTTCTTTGGAGAATTCAAACTTGTATTTTTATATATGATGGTTAGCAATTACATTTCAAACATACAAGATTACTTAAAGTGGTTTTAAAGTTGCTATCGAAGTAGAATATTATTATATTTCTAAACTAAAAACATGACAAATTGACAATATTTTTTTACATGGTCTTTTAACTTATAATAACATTTACTATAAATTTTTTTTAAATAATAATAAACAATATTGTAATTATATTTTATTTTATTTTCAAACATTTATATAATTTTTAGATAATACCAATAAAAACCATTATATTCAAACATACAAAATTACTTAAGTAGTTTTAGACTTGCCATCAAAGTGGAAAATCATTATATTTATAAATTAAAATGTGGCAAATTGCAAATATTTTTTTACATGGGCTTTTAACTTAGAGAATTTTATTATCATTTATTTATTTAAAAAAGCCAATAAAAATATTAGCACCCATCATTTAATTTTCATTAATAATAATTAATCCTATTTATAAAATCAAAATAATTTACTGACCTTAAACCAGATAATTTCTCTGTTTTTTTTTAATTTAAATCAACTTGCTTGTACCTTTCAATCACTATTTAATTGCCCAACTATATACATTTTGGAGCACTAACTAATTAATATCAATAAATCATGTTATTGTCTATCATTCTAATTGGTCCATACTAAATTAGAATTGAACGAAGGTGTAGCTTGGAAGAAATCAAATGCCTCTATCCTTATTCTTGAATGGTGATTGGTTCAGGTAATGTAAAATTTTTTAGAAATAAGATTTTTTTATAAGTGGTTAATTTTATTAAAAAATATATCTCAATCATAATAAAGGTTTATAATCGCAACTGTAAACTAACACATAATATGAACATTTTCTTATTATATCACAAAAAACTGCATCTACAGATAGACCACAAAAGGGATCAAGCTATTGAAAGACTACCAATAAACCGTAATTCAGAGTTAAGCGACATGAAAAAAATTATCCATATACGCATATTGTGTATCCAAATCCAATTCAGTGGTCCAAGTAGAGAATATCATCATGATAACAAATAAACGTAATATTGATCCGTCGCTATGATGTCAAATTCAACCCTCAGAAAATGGATAAAAGGAAAAACAACCGAGAACGTGAAAATTTGCTATAAAGGCAGAGGAAAATGTGTCATAAACGCAAAATTATTAAAAATAAAGAAACAAAGATACGGTATAATAAAATAAAAGAAAAACAATGAATACTAGCGGTTGGTGATCAACACCAAGATTAGTGTCGCTGCCTATCACAAAGGTAAAAAAGAAAAAAAAAACTAACGACGATCAAAGAAAAAGAGAAAAAAAATATAATTTTTTATTTCTATAATAAGATTCTTGAAATATAATATTATCTAACACATTATTGAAAATATATTAACTTGTTTGATTTATTGACAGAAATATAAGATAATTGTATTTGATTATGATAATATAAGATTATCTTAAAGTAAATCTGACCAAATTATCATTATGATATACTTTTCCAACAAAATAAACTTCTAATAATAAATTGAAAATATTTACATAGAAATTTATAGAACTATTTTAATTATTACTGAATCTAAATTTTTAGAAAAATTATATTTAATATAATTATTATATTAAACTTATATTTTTTAATATTTTTCATAAGTATTATATTTATTTATTTATATAAAATACAATATAATATGAAAACTAATGTTTTGGTTTCGAATACACAAAGATATTATTTTTCAATGTATAAAATCTTTTTTTTGTACTTTTGTTGGAAAAATGGATTTTTAGAAACTTGGAGGCATATTTTCAATGGGTAAAGGTGGAGGTTCAAATCATAAAATTATGATTTTATATTTTATTCTATGAGATCTTTACAACGATATATCATATGCTCAAAATGGTTGATTGATGAATGAGAAATTGATGTTCAAAGTAAGTTATTTGTGAATTATGTTGAGGAAAATAGAAAGGTTGTATATCATATTTGTGGGATATTAAGTGTGGAAAGTGTTTATATACATTATACATGAACTAACTTGGATGTTGTAGAATGTCTAAGATAAGTCTACCTTGCGAGTAAGCACATAGGGTGTAAATGTGAATATGAACATGTTGAACTATATTTTGATATAACAAATTAAGGCAAAATGTTTTTGGACTTGAATTGAATTTATTCAAAGTTTTCAAAAATAATTCAAAGTCCATTTAACTTGGAATTGAGCACAAAATACTTTTCTGAACAAGAAGTATCAATACTATTCTT